GCTATGCTACAGTTGCTACAGGGTACTCAGCTGTACTCACAGCTCCCATTGCTATGCTGTAGTTGCTATGGGGTACTCAGCTGTACTCACAGCTCCCGTTGCTATGCTACAGTTGCTATGGGGTCATTCTGTTCACAACCATCCCTATATTCAGAAAGTGCTTAACATTGCTCTGCAATCTGCTGTACATGCATAATTCCATTTAAACTGTCAGTCAGCCCAAGGATTGTCTGTCCTTCCCGGTTTCCATAAGAATATGGTCCAAAGCAGAGCCCAAGAGCTCTTGCATAGAAAGTGGCCCAGAATCTGGGGCTGCTGACTCTTAACTAGCTAACTCTGGCAGTGGGACTTTGCCTTGGGGCAAACCCCATCATTCCTGATTTCACCTCTGTGCTCCCCCAAGCCCACTGTGACCATCTTCAGTTCTGTAGGACCCCAAAGGACACTTTCTTTTTCCCCTAAAAGCTTTCCTTCCATGAGGAGGAATGGCGTTGAGACCTTCGGGGGAGTCTAAATTGTAGACTGCTTACTTACTGTACATGATACATGCTCTGCCCAGCCTCACACATAAGTATTCCCTTGTGGCTCGAAATGCTGCTCCCTAGATGATAAGATCATGAAGGCAGACACAGAAGGTCAGCATCTGGGACACTGTCCTTTCTCCAGATTGCCTCAGTTCAACTCCTACTGAAGGAGCCGTGGACATGTCTGGCCTTCCTTATCACAATACATATCTCTCCCTCAGTGCCATGCAATTGACTCGACTGGTCACTTTGTTTATTATTTATTTCTTTATTTTGTTTTGAAACAGGGTCTTGCCATGTGTTTAGACTATCAAACCCTTAGTCTTCTGCTTTAGCCTCCTGGGTGCTAGGATTACAGGCATGTGCCACTACATCTGGCTTAAACTTGTCTTTTTTGTCTCTTCCTTCCTTCCTTCCTTCCTTCCTTCCTTCCTTCCTTCCTTCCTTCTTCCTTCCTTCCTTCCTTTCTTCCTTCTTTCCTCCCTTCTACCTTCCTTCTTTCTTTTTTTCTTTCTTTCTTCCTTTCCTTCCTTTTCCCAAGAATTGGGCTAGGATCCTGCCCATCCTAGCCTGATCTTGAGGCTTTGGTCCTATCCACTGGTCCATTCTGGGGACCCATATGCAGCAGAGTTAGCTTCTAGAGATAGTCGCAGTGAGGGAAAAGAGCTGTGGGGCCTCCTTGTGACCTTGGGCAGGCTTGAGCATTGCTGGGATGATACAGTCGGCACCAGCTTATGCAGTGTGGGCCAACCAGAGAGCTTGGAACTAGCAAAGAGACCTAGAACCATCCTACTAAGAGTGGGCTGGCCTCCCACACCTCCTGTGGCTCCCTCCCCACCCTTACCCTGCTAGCTGAGAGACTCCCTGGTGGTCTGCTGCTGGGGGACTCTCCCAGCTCCCAGGCCGGTTTGTCCCCACCCCAACCCCACCACTGTCCTCGAAGGCCTTTCTTCCTCTGCCTCTCTCTGCCTTCCCTGAAGAGAATAACCGCCCTCTGACCTCCCTGCGCTGTTGCTGCCGCTGCTCCCGCCATTCCTATGTGTGTTTTCCTCTCTCCCCTAATCCAGCTAATTTTCTGCCCTTCCCAGGTCTGATGACAGCGACTCCTCTTTGTCGGAGGTCCTGAGGTACACACAGAATGTCTCTCGTGTTTGACTCCCCTTCCACTCTCTTCTTTTTCTCTTTGCCCCATGCTACACCAGCCCTCCTGCCTGTTCGCCTGTCCTCCGCATGCAGCCCCTCCTCTCCTAGCCCCTGCCTCTTCCATATCCGTCTCCCTCCTGAGATCTCTTCTCACCCCATGGTTCCTCCCTCTCATGGTGACCCCATGGCCTCAGACTACTGCAATGCCTGTCTAGAGCTAAGGGCTTGTCATGGGGGAGGGTGCAGTTGCTTGTGGCTAGCCCTGTTCTCTTCACCCTCCTGCCCTGGGCAAGGTGGGGAGGGACATGGAAGCCTGGGTTGGGATGGAGTTGAAGCAGAGCTTTGCAGAGCAAGAGGTACCATGAGGACCGTGTCAGCCTGCTAGTTTTTTATTGAGTGTCACTGGCTGTGGTGGCTGTGCTTGCAGTTCTTGTAAATTAGCTTGTGTTTATGGTTGAATCTTGCAAACTTAAGCTCCAAGGGAAGCAGTGCCCTTGCTTATATCTCTTAGCATGCAGTTTGTGGGTGTCTCCTCCCCAGCCCATGGGACAGCCAGAGGCTGGTCCCTCAAACCTATTGAGCACAGATAACCCACAGCAAGGGGTAAGACTTGGGACCCTGGCAGCAGAAGGCTTTCTTCTAAAGGCCAAGAGCGCTCTCTAGTTCTGCACGCATGCTCTCTGCTTACCTTGTTCTGCCCCATGGTTAGCACATTGATTCATCTTCCTGTGCAGTGAGGCCTTGCCAGCAGCTGTTACCTATAACACGCCAGCCTCTTCAGAGAGTAGGCTCCTTAACGATACGTTTTCATGGTGATCTTGGCCTAATTCAGCCTAAACTGACATCACGAGCAAAGGCAGCTCAGGGAGTTACTTCCACATGTGTTTATCTGGCAAATAGGCATGCCTGACTAGCATTCCGGTGTTGCACCAGCCATGAGCAAGCCTGCCAGGCTGTATAACATAGCCACAAGTGGGATCTCAGCCATCTGGTAAACCCCCAGGCACTGCGCTCCTGTCAGCAACAGCGCTTTGGACCAGCTTGAATATGGTTTTAGGTGTAACCTGGCTGGGTCTCACCCAAAACCTTCCTGAGAAAGACAAAGTCATCCCCAGAACCCCAAGAGGTAGATATACCTAAACCCTCACACTGACTTGGCTTTATTCGTCTACTCATGGAGTGCCGTGCAGAACAAGCAGGTGCCATTCTGAGTCCAGGCAGGCTAGTTCCAGACAGACCCAAGCATCCCAGCCCCAAGCCTCGCTGTGGTCCCCTAAGGTTATCTATCCCTTTGAGGTTTTGGAGGGGGACGTTATTTGTTGGTTGGTTTGTGTTTGATAAGGTTTTCATATATTGTCAGGCTGGCCTTGAGTGCTTTTTGTAGACCAATCTGGCGTCAAATTCACAGCAATCCTCCTACTTAAGCCTACAAAGTGCTGGAATAACAGTGCTGGTTTATCCTTTTGTAAGTGATAGGCACAGGTTTGACTATGCTGGTCCAACTTGGGGCTCTGTATAGATGTCCATCTGCCTCACTGTTAGAAGGTACCAGCTCCAGAATGCTGACTGGCAATGAAGTATGGAGAGGGTGACGGCCTGGACATCTTTCCCATTCTCTTTCCCTTCCCCCATTTTTGATCACCAAAGAAGCATGCAGGCTGATGGGAACTACAGAGGCCAATTCTAATACTTGGGCATCTACCCTGCCCCACCAGAGATGGCTGCATGCTTATCTCTAGCTTTAAGTCAGGGAGCCTGACTTCCCCACCCTGTTGCTTCCAGCTTGCCTGGCATGGGCTTCTCCTGCAGAGCTAAGGATGGCAGCCACAGCTCTTGCTGGCTCTCAGACATTGGTGACATGTTGCTAGCAGCCTCAGAATCTCTCATGATTCATTGTCCCTCTCAGCACAGACCCCTCTCTTCCATGTGCTTCAGTCAGCCTGGCCCCGGTCTCCTTGGCTGACTGGCACATCCTCTCTCCCTCTTTCTTGGGAAGGGGCATCATCACCCCCATTGGTGGAGCAAAGGGAGCACGGACGGCCCCGCTGCAGTGTGTCTCCATGGCCGAGGGCCACACCAAGCCCATCCTCTGTCTGGATGCCACCGATGAGTTGCTTTTCACGGGATCCAAAGGTTCGTGGAGACTTGAGGGGCCAGTGGGGTTAGGCTCAGAGTTCACACACCCAACACACCCCTGGCTGAGCCTTCCCTCTCATGTGATCCTGTTGGCTCTACCACTACACTCCTCCAGGCTACATTTCTAGAAGCTTCTCTGAAGTTCCAACATCTCAACTCTCTAAAACCATTACTTCCTCCCTAATATTACTCAACATCCATGTCATCTCTGCAGCTGCATACAGGCAGTTCCTCTGGTCTCAGCAACAGAAGTTTATTGTCCTACAACCAGGTCACAACAAAAAAGTTAAAGCTTTGACCAGAAGAAAGAACAAGTTTGTATCAGACATACATAGTAGGAAACCTGTGTATGCATATGTGAATATATATGCATATATATATATATATATATATATATATATATATATATATAGAGAGAGAGAGAGAGAGAGATACATACACACACACATTTATACACACAGAGATGAGGTGTTAGCTACCAACTGAGATATGATTGATTGGTTCCAAGTTTTTTCATGTTTTCTTGATCCTTGGTCATTTAATAAGCAGTGGATTTATAGGAAATCTATTTCAGCCTAGGACACCTTACAGTGATCAGAGAACTCACCATTATTTAAAGACCTCAGCCCTTTCTTGGTCTCCTGAGTTTTTATGAGACTACACATGTGTGCATGCTTCTCCCTCAGACTTGTTTCCCTGTCTCTGGCAGACCGTAGCTGCAAGATGTGGAACCTGGTGACAGGGCAGGAGATTGCAGCTCTCAAAGGCCACCCCAACAATGTGGTTTCTATCAAATACTGCAGCCACTCGGGGCTGGTGTTCTCTGTGTCCAGCTCCTACATCAAAGTGTGGGACATCCGGGACTCAGCCAAGTGCATTCGGACACTCACGTAAGCATACCGCTACTTGAGAACAATGCTTCCCTGCTTAGGGCACCACTAAACACACCACAGCCTGATTGGGTGGGCACAAGGGTCCTTGCTAGCCCATAGACTTGCTTTGACTCCAGGGGAGGCAAAGTGGCTTGGGGGACAGTTTCTGAACAGCAAGTTAGTGAGCCTTTGGCCTACCTTTGTCTCAGTCCTTCAAGCTCCACCATTTGAGATGGACTGCATAGGTCACAAGGAATCCAAAAGACCAGCAGATGGCAGCAGCCTCCAAAGCCAGGCTAGGACCTGCCTCACAGATGCGCCACCCAGCATGGTCCTGCCTGTAAGGACACAAACCCTCCAGAAGTCAGGTTTTGTCCTTATGTGTACACTCTAAATCACAAATTGTTTAGTTTGATAATTGGAAAACAGACACAGAGGATATTTAGGGCCCTGAACTTGTTCTGTATAATGCAGTAGTCACAGATAATGTCACGCATTTGACTGAACCTACAGAATATAACACCCAGAATGAGCCCCACTGTACGCAATGAACTTGGGTGGTGATGTATCCGTTATAGGTCCGCCTGCTGTAGCCCAGGCTGTGCTGTAGGGTGGTGACAATGGGGGGGCTGCACACGCTGGGAAAGAAAGAGGTACATAGGGAAACTCCACCTTCCACTGAGTTTTGCTATAAGACTAAAGCTGTCCTTATTGATACATCTATTTATTTAAATGAAGTTTAGGGGCGGAGGTGAGGAAATGAGGGCTCAGAGAAAAGAAGTTAAGTGATTTCAACATGAACCAGCCAGCTTCAGAGCCTGTCCCTGGACTCTTTACAGTCTACTCAAGCCTACCCACGCACACCAACAGGTCATAGAGACATGCTGGATTGAGTGTAGGGGGACATGCTTCTAGGGGAAGCTGTTCTGCCCAGATAGGGAAGGAGACTTCCTAGAAGAAGTGGCTTCTCTGAACTGGTCTAAGTGAAGTTTATTTGTTTCCTGGCCTTTATAGATAGATTCTTCTGACCTCTGGCTTTGCTTTATTTCCCTCTGGGTAGGTCCTCAGGCCAGGTGATCTCAGGAGATGCCTGCATAGCCACATCCACCCGTGCCATCACCAGTGCCCAGGGGGAGCATCAGATCAACCAGATGGCCCTCAGCCCCTCAGGCAACATGCTATATGTTGCCTCTGGCAATGCCGTCCGCATCTGGGAGCTCAACAGGTCAGTGAAATATCTGGAGAAGAGGCCCAGGGAAGGTCCACAGGCCTCTGCATGGGGTGGCCCACTCCAGGGTGGGAAGGACCCCAACTGTGCCTCCAGTCTCCCACTCTGTGAACCTGTTCCTTGCCTCTGAAAATCTTGGTCCTTGATCTTGCTTTGAAGGGGAGACAGAGTAGACTGGCCAGGTCTGTCTATTCCAGATCAGATTCCCTTCAGTCCCTTGATCCAATGTAAGTGCCCTCCGACCTACTATCCCTGCCTGGGCCTCTCCCCGCTGCAGGTTCCAGCCCATTGGCAAACTGACCGGCCACATTGGCCCAGTGATGTGCCTGACGGTCACCCAGACTTCAAACCAGCATGACCTCGTGGTGACAGGCTCCAAGGACCATTATGTGAAGGTACCTACAACTGCCTTGACCTAAGCTGTGGCCACCTCTGCTCAGAGGCCTGAATGGTGCTGTTTACTGAGAAGGCCTGAATGGTGCTGTTTACTGGGAACACATAAAAGCCAGTGAGACTTCTGGGAACTGCTGCTGAAGAGGGCGTCTTGGAGACGATAGGAAGATGTATGTAGATAGAACTATTCTGTAAACAGCGAAAAATAACAAGCTCAGTGTGTGAGGGATGCAGGTAGAGCCTCTGAATGGGAGCTGACGCGACCGTGAACATAATAAACAGGGGGAAGTACAAAGTACACAGAACCCAGTGATGTGGTTTGCTCTCTGTGGATATGGCTGGACACTTGGTGGCCAGAAAGTAGAAAGAAGCAAATAAACAGAGACGGAGGTAGTGGGACTACAGCAGTATTCTTCCAACAGTTCTCCAGACCTGTCCCATCGATCATGTCCCTGTCTGAGCTCTCTGCCCCTCCTCGTCTGCAGATGTTCCAGCTGGGCGACTGTGTGACAGGCACCATTGGCCCTACCCACAACTTTGAGCCCCCTCACTATGACGGTATCGAGTGCCTGGCCATCCAAGGAGACATACTGTTCAGTGGCTCCAGAGACAATGGCATCAAGAAGTGGGACCTGGAACAGCAGGAGCTCATTCAGGTTTGGGGAAGGAAGCAGAGGAATGTGCCGGGTCAAGGCTCCAGGCAGACCTTAGCAGAGCCCCTCCAAGACTGCCTGCTGTCTACCCTCGGCCCTGCTGTCCACACATCCCTCTCCCTGCAGCCTGTGGGAACTCCACTGAGACCCTTGCACCCAGTTCTTTATGGGAGCTCTTGGCTTTAGCCTAGCTCTCCTGTGGTCTGAAGATTTCTCCAGCAGCACAGATTCAGATGCTCGGATGTGGGAACTGGGGAGAAGAACCCATCTGGGCTTTTGAATCCCCTCAGCCTGGCTCCTGGGAATGGTAGAGTCTGTCTGCATGATAACCAGAGCTGCCCGGAGCCAGGCGGCATCCCTTCACTGCTAACGGGGTGTGGGTGTGGGGGTTGTGCTGTTCCTGCGGCTCTGGGGCAGGCCCTCTCCCTTCCCTACATCTTATCAGCCCTGACCCTTCCACAGCAAATCCCCAATGCTCACAAGGACTGGGTGTGCGCCCTGGCCTTTGTACCCGGCCGACCCATGATGCTGAGTGCCTGCCGGGCAGGCTTCATCAAGGTCTGGAATGTGGACAACTTCACGCCCATTGGTGAGATCAAGGGCCACGACAGCCCCATCAATGCCATCTGCACCAACAGCAAGCACATCTTCACGGCCTCCAGGTAGGTGCTAGGCAGAGAAAGCCACTTTGCTCCCCTCCTAGGGTGACTGGGTTGACAACTGGCTCAGGGCTCTGCAGCTGTCCCCACACACAGATCCGGTTCACAGAGCAGTACCCCACCTAGCACTTCTCTCTATACCTACTGCTCATCTTCACTGAGCACTAAGCACCCAGTGTTCTGGATGCTGCAATAGGCAGGGGATCAGGGAGCCACTGGGCCCCAGGCTAGAATTTGCCCCTGCAGCAATCCCAATCACTCTTGCCTGGGCACAGGAGCTAAGGACTGCCCTGCCACCCCACACCTCTGCCCAGGTGCAGGCAGTGCCAGGCCCTCTATCCCAGGGACACTACTCAGCTGGGTTTCTTCTTTTCTCTCCTTGTTCCCACCATGTTCCTTCTCTCCCCTCCCATCTCTTCCTACCTCTTTTCTCTGCCTCTCTACCTCTCCTCCCTCCCCCAAATAGTGACTGCCGGGTAAAGCTGTGGAATTACGTCCCTGGACTCACCCCCTGCCTTCCTCGACGAGTCCTGGCCATAAAGGGCCGCGCCACCACCCTGCCCTGACCCTCCCCCTTCCACTCTCACTCTTCCCCTCTTGCCTTTTCCTGTCTTTCCCCACCTCGATCTGAGCTGCTTCTTCACGGTATGAGACTGTTTTACTCTTAACTTCCTTACTTCACGCCCTGCTTGGCCCCGCAGATCGCCCTCCCGAACCCTCTTGCAAGCATGAGCAGTGGGCCAGAACCCTAGGTGGCAGAGAGCAGAGGGGAGGCATTCAGGCCTGGACAAAACAAAACGGGAAAGTCCAGGACACCAGTCTTGCAGGGTCTTGGAGACCATGGCCAGGGGCTTCCCCTTGCCCAGTACCCTTTCCTGTGAGGTCCCCACTGGTCCTAAGCAGTATTTGCCTTAGCCCGGCCATATGTGAGGGAGGTGGGAAATCTGCCCAACCTTGACTTTTGGGGGCAACCAGCCGGGCTCCACATCCACAGCTGAGCGGCCTTTCTCTGTCCTCCCCCAGTGACCTGACAGTGAAGTTCTGGAGCATGCGGAGGCTACCAGCAGCCCACCCTTGAAGTTAGGACTGAAGGTGGCCAGACCCGGCAGCCTACCCAGCTTGGAAAGGAAGCTGTGGTCCGACCTTACCAGACCAGCCAGGTTCACCGAGGACATAGGGTGTGGCTCTTCTCTTGCTCTGCTTCCTCCATCACCCTCTCTGTCCCTCCCCTGCCTCCTGAGAAAGGAGAGGCCGAGGAGGGAGACAAGCTGTGAAGCCAAAGGGCATGATTCCCGCGCCGCCTGCACTTGTTCCCTGCCTTCCTCTCAATCGGCCACTTGGTCTCTGGCTGAGCCAGCCCTACCCATCTCCCATGTGCTCAGCCTTGGTTGAGACTGAGGGAGAAGCAGGGAGAAGCCCCCATCTATCTTCCAGTGAGCTAGCCCCACCTCCGGAGCCGCTGCACCTGCCTCTGAGCCCACAAAGGTAGTTCTCAGGTAACCATGGAAACCAGATGTAAGCAGCTGAGTCCTGCAGCTGACCCTAAACCCTACAGCCACCCACAGCCAATCTCAGTGGGGCCCAGTCACTCCTTGAAGTTCTCCTCTGCTGGGATCTCAGTGGAGCTGCTTAAACAGTTCCTTTGGGGAGAAGGTCAGCAGTACTGCAGTCATTTAATGCATTGATTTTTACTTTTGTGTTCTGCTGTTTGCCTCCTGGAAACTGACTTGAAGTTTCTTCCCATTCTTCCCTCCGCCCCTGGCGGGGGGGTGGGGGGGCTCTTCTCTCTGGCGCTCCGGGGCCCTCCCTCTGCTTGCTCTGCAGACGAGGGAAGCCTTCTCCATCCTTTGCAGCTCTGATCATTGCCCCAGTCCTGTCCATCCCGGCATACCTTCTAGGATAGACCTCTCTAGGCCGCCTGATGCCACAGTGCCTTTCTCCATCCTGAGGCCTGGCATCATGCTGGGCAGCCTTATGCTAGCCATGCCCACAGCCCACATGTGTCTTCTAACTCTGGACCTTGTGCCCACAGCCCCTGAAGGTCAGAGTGTCCACCCCAACAGCCCAGGATCAAGGAGTCCATGCTCCCAAGAGTCCTGTGTGGTCCAGTGGGATGTAGCTTGCTTGGACTGTCCACTGGGCAGGCTTGGGTAGTGAGGTACCAGGTCCTTTGCCTAATCCCCCAGCCAATTATGTTTCCACCCCCTCAAGGGGACAGGGAGCATCTTCAGCTTCTCTTCCTTTAGTTGTTCCAGAAACAGCCTTAAAACTAGCCTGGGCCAAAGGCCCTCCCTTTTCAATTAGCATGAGGGGGCAGTGTCCTTGCTTCCCCCCTTGGTGCTGTGGGCTCAGCTGCTGGGATGAGGTGAAGTCAGTGTCTAGTGCCCCCTACTGGATCAACTCTGAATTTATAGGACTGGGCCATGAGAGGGGCCAGCTCCATTCCTGCCCTGCCCCCCCCCACTCTCCCTCCCCTGCTTCCCCTGCCCTTAAACTGGTCGACACTTATTCTATTGCTTCACTGGTCTTGTGCATCCTGGTCTCATTCTGGGATCCATGAACCCAAGCTTCATTCAAAGGACGTGGAGAGCTAGCACAGTGCCTCTGCACTTAACCCTTCTCCCTCTAGGGTGAGGACATTGGTCTCTGTCCATACGGCCCTAGGATGGGAGAGTTAGGAGCTGATAAGGCCAGACCCTCTCTTAACCATCCCAGAGCTGTGTCTGAGGCTGAAACTAAGAAGATCGTCCTGCTTATCGTCCCAGCCAGACACAGTGTTGAGTCTGGGTAAGTGGATATTTAGAACGATGCACCAGGAAAGCAGGTCATCTGGAACCTGGACTATCTGCAATGACCAGAAATCCTCCTTCCCCTGCTCATCCTGGGAGAGTTAAGGAACATCCTTAGCACTCAGAAGTGACCACATCTTCTCTTCACCCCTCTCCACCTGACTGGAAAGCCTGGACCTTACACCCTGTAAGAAAACCCAGAACCCGTCTGCATGACTGTTTACAAACTACAGAAACACGTGAGACTTATGTCCCGACCCCACAGGCTGGGCCGCCCCAGCCCGGGGTACCTGTACTGTATAGCTGCAAGGCCAGTTCTTGCACAAAGTGTGTGTGGTCTTACAGCCCCCGCGAGAGGTGCTCACTGGCGTTACCCCTTCTGCCATTTCTGATGGGTCACTACCTCATGGCGGGGCTGCTATGCTGTCCCAGCGAGTGTCATTGACTAAACTTGAAATCAGAGCTCTGAGCTCATCGTCCCCGAGCCATTCTGAGCTGTGTTGTGGGAACGTTGGCGTCCCTGCCCACCCACCCTTTCAGGGATGTCCAAGGCACACAGTCAGGGGCAGGTCCCCAGCTCCACTCATTGCACAAGCACCCTACTTGTTGGAAGCACAAACTGGTTGTGATTTGAGCACAATAGCAGGCCTCTGGGTAGACAGTACGAGCAAACCTGGGCGTAGGAGGTCTTTCCCAGATGGGCTGAGTCTTAGGCTAGACCAGAGCTGCTCGTGTCTGTGGCTGACTCACCATAAACTTCGACTCCTTGTGCCCATCTTAGGACTTGAGACCTAGGCCACATCTGTATGCTGTGGGGGTCCTCCCTAGACCCCCACACCCCAAGCCATTAACAACCAGAGTATAGCTGGTACTGCATCACACTGAGCCTGAAGAGCCTGGACCCAGACTCCCATCTCTTGAGCTAACCCCAACATCCATGCTTCCAAAACTGATTAGCTTCCATCTGGACGGAAAGTATCTACTGTCCCCACTCTCTCAGGCCTTTTCTGTGCACAGTCCTGTGCCAGGACCCGTTCCAGTATTAACCATTTCAGTGTTTGGTCTTGGAGAGACTTGATGCGACAGCAGCCAGCTCATGGAGAAGCTGCCTAGAGCAGCCTTTAGAGACTGCAGAGGGGAGAGAGAATGCAAAGAATGAGAGGCTGACCCAGCGCAACCCTTGATGTGGTCAGAGTGCCACCACAGCTACTGGGAAAGGGACAGATACGGATCTGGGAGTAGCCTCCCACCGTTGCCCCAGCTGCAGGCCTGGGGTTGTCTTAGGCTGTGTGGCTTGAACAAAGAGCAGTTTAAAGCACAAAACCATGTAGAGAAGATGCTGCCTTGCTGGGGGATCCTTGTGCTACCCATTGCGGTGGTAGCACAGGCAGGAAGCTGCTGCAAACAAAGGCAGGACATTACATCTCTGCCCTGCCCTCTCCCAGGTTTTGGAGGCCTCCCCTGGAGTCTGGGCTGGGTGCCTGGGTATGTTTGTATGGGCAGGACCTGCCCTGCAGGAGCAGTGCATTCCTTCCATGTGGCCCAAACCTGCCACATCTGTCCCTTTGTCCTTTCTAACAAGAAACTGCTTGCTGCTGCTCCCTTTGCTGAGCACAGTGGCCAGTGCCCCCTCAGACCTTCCTGAGCCCAGCCCGTCATCTCTTGACTCCCAGGTCTTCACTGCTCCTTGTGTGCAAGAGAAGCTGCAGGGAATGTTCGGGTTCTTTGACATCATTGTTCTGTCCCCTGTGCCCGTCCCTTTGCCCCCTCTCTTCCACCTTCAATCCTGTGTCCTAAAGGCTTTGTCAGAAAGTGGGAAGCCGGTGCTGCCCAGAGTCAGAAAAGACCACTGATGTCTTGGTGCCCTGCCCTGCCCTGACCTGCCCTGCCCTGCTCTGTCACCAGCTTTTATGGCAGTTGCCCCTACCTAGGCTGCAGGGCCTTGTTTGGCTCCTGCGCTTTCCTGTGACGTGGTAGCACAAGGTGTGTATATGTTTTGTACCTCTGCTGATGACTGTACATAGTGTATGAAAGTTATTTAAGCCTCATGCTGTACATTTCTGTTCTGGAAAGCGGATGTGTTTGTTCTAAGAGCTTGTCATAAATAAAACCATTGTCCACAGAGGTGTGGCTAGTGGGCTGTTGACCTGTGGCTGGTGGCTCTTAGGTGTGGGAGGTCGCTCAGGGGTGGGTGTATGAGACTGGCCTTTGTGGCTGTAGCCCCATGGGAGGGCAATACCTTGCACTGAGTTTAGGGTTCCCTGGAGTATGTTCCCTTCTCTCCCAGCCTTCCATGTGGCCTACAGGGCTCAAGGCAAGTAAGTACACAAGCAGTGAACACACACTACCCAGGTCCTGTTCAGGGTGATCTTTGCTAGATCATCACTATTCCTGGTGACAGGTGATGGTCTCTTTATGAAATGAGAACAGTCATGACACGTGAGGGACTCACCAGGACAGAGCTGAGATTTGATCGGCCTACCTCTCCAAAGCCCCCCTCACACACACACTCTCCTTCACTAACAAAGTGCATGCTTTCCCTAGGACATGGGACTCCCTGTGTGTGGCACATATTGGACATATTTTGTTTCCTTGACACTTAAAGAATGAAGACAGAAATGTAAATATCCTGAAAAATTCATTTACAAAACTAGCTCTGGTGTGGCTGTGATTTTATCACTAGATCAGTCCTTTCCAGTCTTTGGAAAGCTGTAGTCTCCACTGCCCTTTGTCATTTTTAGGGCTGGGAATGGAACTCAGAGCTTCACGCATGCTAAGCACAAGGCCTACCACCCATTTGCCCTTCTAGCCCCAACTACATTCCGTTTTGTCATTTATCCATCTCCCTGAACACTCTGTGTCTGGCCCACTTGTTGCTACCATCTGAGGTTAGATGGCTCTGTTTTCTGACTTCTCTATAGCCAGGAAGCCAGGAGCATCTTTTGTTGCTTTGGTTTCCAAGTGGAAAACCAAGTGGCTTCTGAACAGGGGTTCTCCTTATACTGACCCAACAAGCCAGAGCTCCATGCTGGGTGGGGAGGGTTTCCGAAAGAGATTCTGCTACAGCAGAAGAGTAAGTGAGAGGGGATCCTTAGCTACAAAAGGAAGACACTGTGCACAGTCTTGCCCTATGTCCCCAGCCTCTTGGGCAGGGACAGAGCCTCCTGCCTTGGAGAATAGGTTGGCTTCCTACAGATCGTTGATTTTGGCTAGGCAACTGAGTCCCACCCCATGCCAGTCTGCTGCCCCACCCCTGCTCTCCAAAGCTTATGTTTCACACAAGATCCTATTCTACTCCACAGACAGCTGCAGCTCAAGTGACAACTAGGTGTGGCCAACTGCTGCTGGGATGGTCACATAGATGGACATGAGGCAGGAGGGGGCACTTCAACAGTTTCCTCCCTTTGCACCGACTCCTCCCGTCATGTCCCATAGGGTTGTCAACAACAGTTTCTCAAATACAGGTCAGCCTGTGGGGACACCAACACCCTTGGCAAAGGACCCAGAATTAACAAATTCTTAAATGGGGGAGGGGAGCAGAGAGATGAGCAGTGGTCAAGAACACCTACTGTTCTTTCTAATAATTTATTTAAAGCTGGGCATGGTGGCACATGCCTTTAGTTCAAGCACTTGGGAGGCAGAGGCATGTGGATCCCTGAGCTGGAGGCCAGCCTGGTCTACAGAGTGAGTTCCAGGACAGCCAGGGCTACACAGAGAAACCCTGTCTCAAAAAGTAAAGTTTATTTAAAGATTTATTTTTAATTGTGTGTGTGTCTGTCCTACACATATGTGTGCAGGTATGCATGCTTGTGTATGTGTATGCACATGAAGGTCAGAAATTGATACCAAATGTCTTCTTCAATCATGCTCCGCCTTGTTCATGTATGCATTGGTATTTTATTTGTTTTTGATTTCTTGAGACAGGGCCTCACTGTATAGACCAGGCTGACCTCAGACTCACAGAGCTGTACTTGCCTCTGTCTCCCAAGTGCAGAGATTAAAAGCATGTGCCACCACACCTGGCTTCCAATTCACTTTGGAGATAGGTCTCAATGAATTGAGAGCTTGCTGATTCAGCCTGGCCAAAAAGCCCTGGGGATCCTCCTGTCTGTGACCCTGCAGGGCTTGGGTTACATGTATGCACCCCCACACTCTGCTTTCTTCTGTGGGTCCTGAGAGAATGAATCAGATGATCACACTTGCATAGCAGGCACTAGGGGCTGAACCCCTTGTAAGAAGTTGGTGCCATTCACTGCCTAAGCTGGATAGTGCCACAAAGACATAGTTTTCCAAATCCCCCATTTTATACACAGAAGAAATTGAGGCCCAGAGAGACCAATAGAATTAGTCAAAGGGGTAGTAGAAGAGAAGTTTCTAGAATCAATTATTTTATCCCTGTATCTGGATTTGACTAAAGAGAATGGGGTGACATGAGGACACCCAGTCTTGGGGGAGGATTTTTTCCCCAAAACCTGTTGCTAGTTGTTTTGTTTGATTTCATTTTTAATATAAGATATACTATCCTTGTTTATAGCAAGGCATATTTGCTACGGGGTGCTTCTGAGTCTTGGATATTTCTACTTACTTCCATGTATAAAAAGTGTTCCACTCAGAAAGCTTCCTAATGGTAACTGGGCAACTGATGACGAGCCAAGGGGAAATGAGAGACAAGCCTCCAACCAATGCAGTAATAGATTAGTGGGGCCTCTGCTGCCACCTCTGGGCTTGTTTGCAGGCAGGTGAACTTGCAAGATAATGCAAGAAAGGTGTGGGCCTGCGTGGGAGGCCACCCCGGGTTCCTGAAGCCTGTGTGTAGGTGACAGCTGGGAACTTCAAGGCCTGAGCCTGTGATGATAGGCTTGCTTCACAGTGGACAGGACTCCAGCCAAGCCCGAGCATGCTTGCCCATTGAAAGAGCTTGCGTTTGTTCTGGGAGTGGATTGTGTTCCACAAGCTTTTCCCAGTGACTGAAGGTCAGGGTTCTAGACAGAATGGTGAGGTAAGAGGAGCTATGAGAGCCGCAGATGGCCCTGTATGGACCTAGCACACCCCAAGGACTCAGTGCCAGGCAGATCTCAATAAGACTGATTACAACAGGGGCTTGAAAATGAGCAGGCACTGAACGAGTCCTCTTAGCATGCATGGCAGGGGAAAGACACTCTGGCTCTTTGGCAGAACAGTGAATATACTTCTGTTTGGGCAATGCCCAGGGGCAGCCATGGTGCTGTTTTTATAAAACGATCTTACCTATAATGTTGAGGATAATATTTAAAATGGTGGCACCTGATCTGGCTTGTCCTTATGAGGACGCCATGTCTTGCCGCTGCTCATCTCTGACTGCATCTCAGGCTGGCTAGAAGCACCAGCCCTTGGCACCCATGAGATGCCAGCATGGGAGATGGCTCTGCCAATCTACCATGCTGTCTCCACAAAGTTTGGCTGAACCCAAGTAATACCTGCCATCCCAGTAGAATGAAGACTCTTAATACTTAATGGCTATCCAATTGGTACTGCTCAATTAACAAGAGGCCCACACAATCAGTGTTGTTACCCAATACCTAACGTAGATATTACAACTACTTTAGACTGCTAGAGACACACGTACATCCTCAGCCATCTTCTCCTCCCCGGTTCCTCTCTTCCTTCTTCCTCGATCCTCTTCTCTTCTTCCTTCTTCTTCTTCTCCTCTTCCTCCTCCCACATTAGCTCCTCCCCAATCACTCCACTGCAAACAGTAGCAGCAGCAGGAAACCATCCTGCTACACTATAATGGCTAATCACACTCTGTGAGCTCTCTGTCTCTGTCTCTCTGTCTCTGTGTCTCTCTCTGTCTCTCTCTGTCTCTCTCTGTCTCTCTGTCTCTCTGTCTCTGTCTCTCTCTCTCTCTCTCTCTCTCTCTCTCTCTCTCTCTCTCACACACACACACACACACACACAGACACACACACAAAACCTAAACCACTTTTTTGCTTCAACTAGCCAGAAGGGACATTGTTGTCTATCAGCATGAATACTGCCCAGCCACTAGGAGAGTTCAAAACCAGCGTAGACCACATATCAAGACAAGTATCTCAAAATAAAGGCTGGATATTGCAAGACACACCTATAATCCCAGCACTTGGGAGACTGAGGCATGAGAACATAAGTTTGAGGACAGCCTGGGCACATGGCAAGAGCCTGTATAAAAACAAACCAAACAGCTGACTATTACAAATGAATTCTAGATACCTTGTGCATTTAACACTCAGTCTGTACTTGAAGTTGATTCAAAGAAAACCACTTACTCTGACTTTAGGTCACATGGCTGAATGGGAGTGGACACGAAGCAGCAGGACCAGAGAAACCAGCCTGACCCAGATGTTTTCTACATACAAGGCTGCTCGTGACCACAGATTGACATCCATCTCCACAAAAATCATGATTTCTCTTTTTTACTAGCGGAGATCTGCAGGGACACAGCATTTCTAGTACAGGACTCAAGGGCTAGCCTGCTGTCACAGTGTTGATGGTGTGCCTTCGTCTTGGACCCTAGCATACAGGCTCAGCAGTACCTCCTTTTGATCCTCCTCACGCAGAGGAAGGAGGAAGGGGTCTTAGCCGGCATCACTTTCTCCTTGGCTTCTAGGATGTAGAAAGTCTGCACGATGAGGCAGCTGACTGTGGGGTCAGGGTCTCTCTGCATATACCTGAAGGCTTTAACAGACACAGGGGATGGTACAGTAAGCAGAAAAGTGGTCAGGCAGGACCAGGAGGACCCTGGCTCTGCTTGGAGAAAGGAGACAAACTGGCAACTTTTATAATGTAAGCAATGATTTCTTCTACAAGTCCACACTGCTAATTATAATCAAGACCCCAAACTTGCCCCAGGCTCAGAGAGACACAAAACAGACTGCTTTTTTGGTCCCACCCCAGCTCTGGATTCATTCATTCTGTGTGGAGTCCTCTGACCCCCAGGAGAACCGCAGTCCAGCACAGAGCCACACCTGGGGTTCACTGTGTCATGAGTACAATGTGGAAGCATAGAAAAAAGAGGGAGCACAGTGTGCAGAGGACATGTCTCAGGGACAGGGAGACCACAGGTTCCCACAATATAACACGAGCACTGATGAAGACCCTGAGAGAAAGGGCTGAGGATCCTGTGGTACCCTGGGGAAGAAGGTAAGTAACTCTTTCCTAGGGAGAGTTTAGGGGACCAGCCTGGCTGACAAACAGCGTCAAGCTCAACGGCAGTAAGTCTGAATGAGTGTGGGGAGCAGAGGAGCTCTGACTGATAACACAGACCTCTGTGCCTTGGGGAGAGGCTTCTGTTTTTCTGGATGACGGTCTTTATGAACCCTCTTGCCTTCATTTCCAAGACACCCCTCTAATACCAGTACCCCTAAAAGACTCAATCAGTAGTCAATGGGATGACCACTCACCTGTATATTCCTCTTCAATTTCCTGTTCCTCAGCCTTATCAAGGTCCCGGATGACCTGACCTATGGGGGCACATAGGCATTCAGCAGCCTCACAAGGGGTCCATGGGCCCTAACAAAGCTATCTGACAAAAGTCATCATCCTGGCCCTCTCTTTTTCCCACCCTTGCTTCCCAGCCTTAGGGCTGGACTTTCTTCATGAGGCCAAAGTGCTTCTCCAATTCTATGAAGGGCTCTAGGCAATCAGACCAGGTAAAGACTTAAATAAACACCACTTCAAAGATGAAGGGGTGACAGGAGGTGGCATCCATCTCTCCTTGAACTTCCTCCACCAGGAACAACCCACAGGCCTGGTGCTCCACTCTATGGGAGCTATGCTGCCCTGGTTTCTTAGGAGTTTCCCATTCTTCTAATAGACAGGTCATTCCTACCCAACCAGGGGTTCCCTGTGGTGGGAGCAGATGGGAGTCCTTACCAGGGACTCTTTAATTACCTTGGGCCCTGTAATTAACTTCTCACATGCCCAGCCCTCAATCGGTTTGAAAAACTCAACTTCAAGGAGACAATGGCTCCAAGAATATAGGGGCCCATCATACCTGCAAACCACACATATATAGGGGACCATCATCATACCTGCAAACCACACATATATAGGGGACCATCATCATACCTGCAAACCACACAGCCACTTGGCGGATGGGGTCCTGCGGACTCTTAAAGAGGGCCACACTCTGCTTCAGAAACCAGAGTGCCTTGCTCCTTTCCTGCTTCAACTGGAAGAAGTAGCATTAGATAACACAGCTGCCAAGTCTCTTGCCTCTCAAGCTAAGCTAAGATGGTAGATAGATATTATCCCAATCTCAAAAAGACCTTTCAGAACCTCCTATAAATTCATCCCTCGTGTCCCAGCTACTGAGGCCTTATTTCTTCCATGATGTCTTCCTAGATTGACCAAGCCACAGGCATGACAATGTATTCAAAGGCCCTGACAGACTGAGTCTTCAGTTCTACTGGTGTCTAGGTTTACATGTAACAATAGCCTCAGACATTTGAATACTTGCTCCCTAATTGATGGCACTGTAGGGAAGGTTCGGAAGGAGAAGTTTAATCACTGGAGGCAGGTTTTCAGAGTTTAAAGACTTGTGCCATTTTGAGTTCACTCTCTCTGCTTCATGTTTGTAGTTCAAGATGTGTGCCCTTGGATCCCTGCTCCTGCCACCATGAATTCTAACCCCCTGGAACCGTAGCGGAAATAAACTCTTCATGATGTTTAATCACAGCAATCAAAAAGGAACTAGTCCACTAAGCACTACCTTCTTCCATTTCTCCCTGGGAAGATGATGTTATCTGGGAAGGCTTTCTTTAAGCCCAAGCTGGCCAAGTTGTATTAGAAACTGCTTTCCTCCACCTTACCAGTTTCCAAAGTACTCCAAATTTACCAGTTTATGTACCTATCTCTGCAGAGTTAGCAAACACTGCGAGGGCAGGGAGCACCAGTAGGTGGTCTGCATGAAGTAGATTGTCTGTTAACTCAAGTGGCTTGGGACCAGAGGGAGAGGTTGAGGGCTGACTCTCTTGCACTGGCAGAATGATGCATCAGCTGCTGGCTTACCAGGGCACTGAGGATGGTAAATACGTCACTCTTGGCGAAGACTGCTTTGAATTTAGACCAGCGTAGGATGGTAGCTATGTGGCAGAGGCTGCGCCTACAGACCTGGGGAGATAAGAGGCTCAGCATGTGGAACCATGGGAATGAGATTGGGCAAAGATGCAGAGGGGCCCAGGAGGAAGACAGGGAGCAGCTCATTTGGCTTTAGTAGACTGGAGACTCAGAAACTGCAAGGATCCAGGCTTATGAGAAAGGTAGAGCCTGTCTAGACATCTGGCTCTACTGAAAACCTTTTTTTTCCCCATGAAGAAGTTGAGGTGATGGCTCTAATGCTTTTTCCAGTAGTAATGCTGAGTCCCATAGCAGTGTGACTCTACAGCACAGCCTTTGGCACCATGGCTTTCCAGCCCAAAGTGGTCTCTCTGAAAACAAATGTCCCTATTTTGGACCTCCCTTGAGACATGCTTTTGCTATGTATCCCAGGCTAGCCCCAACTGGCACATTAGGATCTTGAATGTTAGGTTCACCAAAGTTTACCACCTTACCCAGGTCTGTCAAAGTCCTAGTACTCCATCTGGGTGGTCCCTGCTTTACAGAAAAGTTGACTTGGCCAAAATATCACTGAGTTCATCAGGGGAGATCCATACCTTTCTGTCATGTGCTCAGCAGCATCCTTGGATGTATCTAAGGGATCTCCTGTTACAAACCAAGTCAGGAGTTTCTAAGTGTCTAGCTGTGGTACATGCTTCTAGGCTCCTGAGGTCTGAACTTGGCCTGTCACAGTCCAAGTCTCTATGCTCTGCCCAGCATTTAACCCACAACTGGAGTTCCCCCACCTCGAGAGCCCCATTTCTTCTCATTGGTAAGGCAAGAGCAGAAAGCAGTCTAGAGAAAGACTACAAGGGCCAAGGCAACACAGCAGAAATAGAGGAGCGGGTACCACCATGAGACTTCCTGCATCAGAGTTTCCATGTCCACAAACTTCTACTGAAGTTGGCAGCTAGCTGGGTCAAACTGGAGCTGGAGGAGACTCAGCACAACAGCCAATCAATCATCTGTATTCAACCTCCCCAACGTCAAAAGTCTAGTGGCCCCCCTCAGTGTCACACAATCCTGTCACAGCCCTATCCAAGGGCTTACCATGTTCTGCATTAACTTCCAGTGAGAACTGAATGCCAGGCTCCACAGTCCGGCTTCTCACCTCCACCACGGCGGCATTTACATCCTTCAGGTGTAACACAAGGAGGATTAGCAAGCTGAGGATCTGGTGCCTCAAGGGGAAGACCAGGGTCATCCTCGAGACCTTAGCCAGGATACTTGCGTAGATCTCGAAGGTGATCAGGCGCAGCTCCTCTGACTCCTGGGTAAGAAGATACACACTCGGGAAGACACAGACACGTCTGTACATGCACAGGTCACCCCGGTCAGAAGAACTCTGAGCTCTGCTCCCACCAGCCGCCTTCCTGCGCACATCCCCTGTCTACTTTGACCTCTCATTGGCACAGTTCTCATGCATTGCTCTCATCAGCCCTCCCCTTTTGACTATTATAGAGCAAGAGTACGGATGCAATCAGTCCCCCAAGAACACTACTGAGGTGGAGAAAGGGGCTTTTTAAACAATAGCTCAACCCTTCTCCATTGGGTCACAGTCACCTAGGGTAAGAGAGCAACCTCTTGATCCTTCGGGGGCTTTACCTCCTCGAAGAAGTGCACCAGAGTGAAGGTCAGCTTAATGATGAAGGAGGAGGAGTGATACCAGGTGAGGTCCTTGAGGATGCGCTGCAGCATTCGGAAGGTCTCCATCACCAGGTCGCTGCTGAAGGAGTAGCAGCAGCTCAGCACAAAGGGCTGCAGGATGTTGAGGAGCTTTATCTACAGAGGAACAGCCACTCAGAAATACAGTCAGGAAACACTGCCCACCAGCATTTGCCTGCAAGGCTGACCCTTCAGGCAGACCAATAGGAACAAGCTCTCATATATTTCACTCTGAAAGCAGACATGGCCCCAAGATTGGATGGTGGTCAAACTGGGCTGCCAATAAGGTACCTGCACAGGAGCCTTCTGTCCTTCACTGGCAGAGGTGAGAAGATGGAGGGTTTTTCTCTCCTGCACCATAAACTTCCCTCCTCATTGCTTTCCTCACCCCCGATGATGCCAGTCTCCAAAGACCTGGATGGTACCTCCGGGATGCTGGGATTGGCTGGACCTATTTTCTGAAGTGACTTATGGAACGACTTCCTCCAGGTACTTTCCTGAATGGGAGCTCGAATGCTCAAGCCAACCTGGACCCTGTGCTTGGAGGACTGGCCTCAAGAGGACCTATATTCTAATTCCAAGTGTGTCACACCCTATCTGTAACTGGCCACCCTAGCTTTCCAGATCTGCCTATCCCTTCTCTATGGTATGTCCTTTACCCCTGTTCCATTTTCACCGTGTTTTTGTGCTTTGCAAAGACTTCCGTGATCTGCAGGAATAGATGCGCCGTGTCTAACTCGTCACAGTTGAACCAGTCTGTCAGAATCTTGGTGGAGACCTCATCTACAACACCTGCCACATCTGGACAGCAGAGCAGCTGGCAAGCAGAAACCAAGAATGACAAAAATGTAGGCAAGGGAACAACTGGATTCAGATTCTGCCTAGGGCCTTGGTCAAAGCTTAAAGGACAGTTCGCACCCTGCCATTTACTCGTGGTACAAGTCTTACGTCTGCATCTATGAGAGGGGGTGATGAGAGACAGACAGAAGAATGCACACGGCTGTCACGGATTCTAGTGCTTTAGTTGGGGAGCCAGTAAAGACATGACCATGAACTTTTGTTCCAAGCAAGGGACAAAGTGCCACAGACTGAAGCAGCTACAAAGTATTGTGAACGGGAGTGCATAAAGGAGGCAGAACTTGAAATAGACTTGAAGATAGAAGACCTCATGAAGTCCCAAGTCTTTAGACAAGAAGACAAATGATTTAATAGGAAAATAGGCAAAAGAAATGGAAAGGATTCCCAGAGGACAGAGGACTGTGCATGTCTGTGTGTGTGTGAGTGTGTATGTGTGTGTGTGTATGCATGTGTGTATCTGTGTCTATGTGTCTGTGTGTGTGTGTGCATGTGTGCATCTGTATCTATTTGTCTGTGTGTGTGTGTGCATGTGTGCATCTGTGTCTTTGGGCCTGTGAGTGTGCATGTGTGTGTCTGTGTATATGTGTACATGTGTGTATGTGTGCATGTATGTGTGCATATATGTGCCTGTGTCTGTGGATATATGTATGCATGTATGTGCTTGTGTCTCTCTGTGTGTGTGTGTGTGTATATGTATGCATGTATGTGCTTGTGTCTGTGTGTGTGTGTATATATATGTATGCACGTGTGTGCTTGTGTGTGTGTGTGTGTGTGTGTGTGTGTGTGTGAAACCATGTAGACCCCTAAGTTGGCACATTCTTGTCAGGCCACCAGACATGTCTACTGTCAATTAGTCAGAACTTTTTAAATTCTCTGAGCCTGAGTTTTGTTCTCTACAAAGTGAGAATAAAATACCAGGGTTCAGTCTTGCAAGTACTGTGAATTAAAGCACACAGCCCTATCTATTTTAAATTCCCCTGCCTGTGACTGTCTCTGGATGGAGGTAACAGGAGCTAGGAGCTATAAGAGAGTGCAAAATGTTCCAGAGTGTCATGGATGTTAGCATTCTGTCTAAGTGCCGCCCCACAGTTACCTGGCAACAGCCAGGTAGGCCTGGCCTACTATAAAAGGGGCTTTCCCCTTCCTCACCCTCTTGGTCTCTTATTTCCCTCTTGCTCTCTCTTGCCTTCTTGCTCCCACTCTGTCCCCTTGCCTCTTCCCCCCTCTCTCCCCATTCCCTTCTCCCCTTTCCCTCCACGTGCTCATGGCTGGCTTCTACTCCTCTACTTCTCTATTCCCTTCCTCTCTCCCTCTCTCTGTCTCTGCTACCCTCTTGACTCCCCTCTCCATGCCCTGAATAAACTCTATTCTATACTATGCCATCATGTGGCTGGTCCCTTGGGGGAAGGAGTGCCTTGGCATGGGCCTGCTGAGACCTCCCCTCCCCCATACCTCACCACACCTCCATAGAATATATCCCCTTTTCTCTTTATCTTTTTATATAGACATGGTCTTTCACCTACGCATCTGGACCCACTTTCTCAGCTGGTAACTACACCCCACTTATGCCCCACTTTAAAACTGTCAGGCTCCCCTCCAGTTGCTGAGAATGGGCCTCACCCATCTCTCTCCCCGAAAGCCCTATCTCAAACATGCTAACCCCACTCCAGCCTGAAACTTTAATAAGGATGGCAGCTGAGTAAGCGCTTGTGTGTCTCCTCATTTCAGCTGGGCATCAGCATTTGAGGGACTGTCTAGAGTATCCCGCAGTACCAGCTGTTTCTAGATCATAGCTGTAAACTAGGGAACTTAGAGAAAACTAATGCCTGTGCCCACCCTAGAGCAGTTCTGAAGAAATAGGCACTGAGGAGCAGGAGAACGTGGTGAGGGGTTTAGCACCCCCTAGAGCAGCAGTTCTCAGCCTGTAGATCACAACCTCTTTGAGGACTCACACATCAGATATCCTGCAAATCAGATATTCACATTGTAATTTATAATAGCAAAATTACAGCTATGAAGCAGCAACAAAATAATTCTCTGGTTGAGAGTCACCACAGCATGAGGAGCTGTGGTCAAGGGTCGCAGCATTAGGAAGGCTGAGAAGCACTACCCTAGAGGATTCTAATATGCAGCCAGGGCTCAGAACCTCTGCAAGAGGAAATCAGCCTCTGGCTGTGTATGCTACTCTTCTGTGCTGTTTCTCGAAGCTAAGCGCAGGGACTACCTGCCTATGCAGCCAGAAGAATGCTTTAGAAAACAAAGGCTCCTGTGGACCCCATGTCTACTGGGCTAAGCCTCTAGAGTAAGGACCCAGGTATTCATCTGTCCTGTGATCAACATCCTCAGTGGTTTGATTACACCAATTCCCGAGACCACTTCCAACTAGTCAGGCTTCTGTACCTCCAAGAGAGTCCTTCACATCCTTATCATGTATCTGCTAGCATCTTAGAAGGAAGATCACTGTCTCTATCCTAGTACTATTGCTATTGTATTATCTTCTGTCAGAATTCAAAAGAATCCACTTTTTTTTTAAGTAGGTAGGGACCAGTGAGCTGGATCAGTGGATAAAGGCGCTTGCTGCCAAGATTGAGACCTGAGTTCAGTCTCTGGGACCCACATGATAGAAGAACAAAACTGACTCCTACAGGTTGTTCTCTGCCTTCCACATGTGTACATACATACATACATACATACATATATGTAATAACTTTTAAACAGGTAGTTTGAATTTTTAAAGACACTGATTTAAAATTATAACAAGGCAGACCTCAAAAAACTGCCCCATGTCCTCTGGTGGAAGCCCAAAGCAGTTCAGCTTTACTGGAAAACCCCTGCGCATCAGAATCAAAAGTCAGAGAAGCCACTCACACTTGAATCTCATATTTCCACATACTATAGTCAACAGTTAAGGCAATAGTCTAGAATACTGGAAAGGTTTTCCATAGGACTGTTTATTACAGTATTGTTTATGCTTGTGTTAAATCAGAGACAGAACACTCCATTAATTATAGAACATTTGTATTAAATACTTGTCACAAAGAAACCCATTTCCTTATAGAGTGACCAAAAAGTTAATTTAAAAACCAAAAACTGCAATGAAAAGAGCCAAACAGAATATTTGAGAATGATGTCAACCTTACACACACACACACACACACACACACACACACACAGTGATTCCTTTTAACCACTGTAAGGATTAATGGTTTTATACAATGTATATACATTTCTAAATTCTCTACACATTTTCCCCTGTCCAGTGACTGAATTGTAGAGTGAATTAGGGTGGCTAGTCATAGCTGAAGTAATGGCAAGAGAGGAAATTGGGGCTCCACAAAGTTGGGGCAGAGGCAAAGCCTTGACATTGAGGAGGATAAAGGTTTGTGACCTAAAGAAACTTCATGAAGAATTCTTACCCATGTTCCCCAGCTCATCCATGGGAAGGGATAGACCAGGCCACTTCTCTCCCTGGGAGCCTTCTAAAGGAGTCCCCTTGGGTACAGTTGCTTCCCGGAAGCTGTCCCCACTGCCCTCTGCCCCACCCTCTCCAGTCACCTCTGTCAGGAACACCAGGGCTGTGAAGTAATTAGTACAGCCTGGGCTCTGGAGGGTCTTAATGAAGAAGCTGAAGACAGGGCGATTGTGCCAGCAGTTCTTGACAACCAGCGATCTGAGATAACAACGGAGTGCTCAGAGTAAGACCGAGGCCACAGAAGAAGACCTACGCATAGAAGGTTTTCCACCCGGGGACTGGACACACACAGCTCACCTGGCCAGCAGAGTGACTCCTTCATAATGTCTTTCAGGGCTGACAAGCAGCTCCCAGCCCCCGAGTGTCTGAATATAAGACATGTGGTCTATGTACCCCGAGCTGCGCATTAAGGTCTTCAGTGCCTCTATAGAAGAGCTGGGGACACAGCAGGAGGCAGACAGTCACTGCCAGCTATGCTCTCCTAACCCATGTGACTCCCACCCATCCTGTGACTAGTAAACCTGGCCATGGAATGCTTACAGACCAAGCACATTTCACAGCTGAAACAGACAAGGGTTGTGGGGGTCTCCCAGGCAGCACAGAAAGCCTGCAGAGACCAGAGGAACGGCATCTAGGTGGCCCACGAGTCTTGCTTTGAGTTTGCTTTAGTATAGAAAATGCATCCACCCACCGGGGCAGCCTCTTTAAAGTCTTTTCAGGGAAGTCTGGGAAGGCTTATTGAGTCGATGTGTGCCTTAAGTAACCATGGAGGGTGTGAAAGGACCACGTTGGAGAGGGTACTAAGGCCAGCTGGTTACAGAGCATAGCCATTAGCACACTGGCTCAAGGGCCCAGGGTACCTCACGGTGTCCATGGATTTGGTTTCAGTCAGCTCGTCCTGGGCCACGGTGCTCCCTTTAGTCACCAGGGAAGAGATTTGGAAAAGCAGTGCCACGAACAGGGAGGCAAAGAAGGTCTGCACCTCGAACTGCTGACTCGGTACCAGCAGCAGCTCGTGGATGGCCCTGGTGGCCTGGAGTGAAAAGCAGGCCACCTTTACTGTCACGCAGAGTTCCTGTCATAGTCCCTATCGCCTGTCCAGTGAAGTCACTGATGTTGTCAGCAAGTGAAGACTGAGCACAGGGCAGACTGCTTCTAGAACACCGCTACGTGCTCTTATAACAATGGGTCTGCTTTAGCCTCCCAGGTTCCTTCAGATTTAGGCAGGCCTGGGGTGTTTGCCTTACAACATTGCACTTCCACCTCCAGCACCAATTTGGTTCTGGTTCTCTGTTCTAAGTGGGTCAATCGACTAGAAACCCTCTTTCTAACCCAGCCTGGAGACTCTGCTATTAGAATGCCCAACTAAACACAGGCCCCTAAGTGGTACTTGTCCGTAGAACCCAAGCTAGCCCAACAGAAATCACAGTGCGTTTCCTTCCCACTCCCAGCCCCGCCATACAATCAGTGTTGAGAGTTCAGTTTCATGGTCAGCCTCCTGATCCTTGGGTGCCTGGGGTGAAATTATCCTCTGCAGTAGATACTCCATGATCACTTGGTAGGCTTTCGGAAAGGTAGCCAGGATTTCCCAGGATGTGTGTGTCACTCTGTAGAGTCAGAAACCACCAAAGTTATAGGCTACCCATTTTCTGCTGTTCTACAATGCTTTCTGAAAGGTCTTTTACTCCCTTAGGCCCGTCCTGGCTTCCTGCTGCCCCATGTTTCCTCTTTGATTATCCTGTCACTTTTCCTTTAATTCTTTTCACCATCCCATTGCCTCCAGGCTCCCCTGTTCCGTTACATTACATTGTATATAGGCAAATAGGAAAAACGTTCCCTTAGCGCATGGGCCTGAAAACATCGAAGACCAAAGCTTGTTGAGTGCCCTTGAGTGCATCAGGTGACCCTGTGGCCACGTCTAGGAACTCCTTAGTTCCACCGACACTGCATCTGCGGCTGGGGATAAAGCTCAGTCGGTTGCATGCTTGCCTAGTATGCAGTTCCTGGTTCAATCCCCATCACCACATGCACTTGGTGCAGTGCTCCACATCTGTGATACCAGCACTTGGGAGGTAGAGGCAGGAAGAGCAGGACTTCATGGTCATCCTCAACCAAATAGGTTGGGCCAGCCTGGGCTACGTGAGTCTCTCCTCCATACCCATTCAAAAAAAGAAAGGAAGGAAGGGAAAGAAAGGAAAAGAAAGAAAGGAGGAAGGGAGAAAGGGAAGGAAGAAAAGAAGAGAGGAGGGGAGGGGAGGGGAAGGGAGGGGAGAGAATCTTCCAGACTCCTCGAGAAGAGAAGAGAAGAGAAGAGAAGAGAAGAGGAGAGGAGAGGAGAGGAGAGGAGAGGAGAGGAGAGGAGAGGAG